CCTCACTTAGCGACATACTCGTTTACCGACAACTCGGACTTACGATGGGCTCTCTGACCAATATTCCTACCTAAATAATGTATATTGGAGCTGATTTCCTCTTTTGTGTTTATTACAATATACAGTACATTACTGTATAAATATTTAAAAATATACCAGAAATATTATAAATGGTACGAAGGTGACATTAAAACAATATAAAAGATGGTTGACACAAACCCACCACCATTATAGTATTTATTTATTTATTTATTTCCAATTTGTGCACACATACAGAGGTACAAAAAAAAAAAAAAAAAAAAAAAAGTATGCTCCTCGCTTAGCCATGAATTCGTTTACCAATGTAGGTAGACAGAAAGACAGACACACAGGTAGACAAACAGATAAACAGACACACAGAGATACACAGATATATAGGCAGACTTACAGACAGGTTTATGTGCAACAGTGAAAACAAATAGAGAGTTTGAGAGTAAGAGCCTTTCTTGCCACAGACTTCATCTTAGGGGCCATGGTGAAATTTACTGTCCAGTTAGTACAGTTAATACAGTATGATGCTGCTGATAGGACAGGGTTACTCAAACTGATGCTGCCTGCATGACGCATTGCTGCCGTGAGTATTGTCAAATATTGTGCAGTGGTGTGCATCAGCCGGCCCAGCCCAGCTGCCAGATGCACGGTCGTAAGTCGAGTGGACGTATGTCGAGCAGGTCGTAAGTCGGATGGTAGGTGTATATACGACCAAAACAGTCGAAGGGTTAAAGACACAACCTCATCAACATGGCCACTTGATACTGGAGTACCACAGGGAAGTGTCTGTGGTCCCCTGCTGTTCCTCTTATACATCAGTGATCTTCCCAACGTACCACAACACCTAAAACCCCATTCTCTTTGCTGACGACACGACTTATGTCATCTCCCACCCAAATCTTGCCACCCTCAACACCATTGTTAACGAGGAGCTGCTCCAAATATCTACTTGGATGACAGCCAGTAAACTTACACTTAACACTGACAAAACTTTCTATATTATGTTTGGTAATATACCTTTGATATACCTTTGAAGAATTTCGAGAGTATATCTACTCTCTGAGCCCGGCCATGGGCCAGGCTTGTCTGGTGCTCGCCTGGTCAACCAGGCTGTTGCTGCTGGAGGCCCGCTGCCCCACATATCCATCACAGCCTGGTTGATCTGGCACCTGGTGAAGATACTTGCCTAGTTTCCTCTTAAAGGCTTCAACACTTGTTCCAGCAGTGTTTCTGATATCTTCTGGTAAGATGTTGAAAAGTCTGGGACCCCGGATGTTGATACAGTGTTCCCTTATCGTCCCCACCGCACCCCTGCTCCTCACTGGGTTTATTTTACACTTCCTCCCATATCTCTCACTCCAGTATGTTGTTATGGCATTGTGCAGATTTGGGACCAAGCCCTCGAGTACCTTCCAGGTGCAGTGGACCCCCGACATTCGATGGCATCGACATTAGATAAATCCGACATTCGATGCATTTTAACGCAAAAATTTTTCCTCGACATTCGATGGAAACCCCATTATTCGATACGATTCGTACGAGATGTGTCCACGTGTGGCCTGAACTGTCCCATGTGTGCCAGTGTTTACAAGCCAGCCAGTGTGCGCGCATCTAAGGATACATTCGGTACATTCCATATTATCCATATTATCACTGTTTTTGGTGCTTGTTTCTGCAAAATAAGTCACCATGGGCCCCAAGAAAGCTTCTGGTGCCAACCCTGTGGTAAAAAGGGTGAGAATTAGTATGGAAATTAAGAAAGATTTTGAAGGGTTTGGGGCTAACCCTGAGAAGCCTATGCCAGTTGTGGACTCCATTGTGCCTACTTCAAAAATTAAGGAAATGTGTGCAAAGTGAGTTGAACTGCAAACCTTTATGGATGAAAATCACCCAAACACAGCTATTGCAAGCCGTGCTGGTGACTTACAATGACAATGTTGTGGCCCATTTTAGACAAATCGTAAAGGAACGGGAGGTACAGAGCTCTATGGACAGATATGTTGTGCGACAGAGGTCCAGTGACTCTCAAGCTGGTCCTAGTGGCATTAAAAGAAGAAGGGAAGTAACCCCGGAAAAGGACTTGCTACCTCAAGTCCTAATGGAAGGGGATTCCCCTTCTAAACACTAACACCATCCACACTCTCCCCTCCTCCCATCCCATCAATCATCACCAGATCTTCATTAAAGGTAAGTGTCAATTATTCTATTGTTGTTAATCTCTTGTTATTGTTGTTATTGTAATTATTCTATTGCATTAAACTTAATATTTCATGTGGTAAAATTTTTTTTTCATACTTTTGGGTGTCTTGCACGGATTAATTTGATTTCCATTATTTCTTATGAGGAAAATTAATTCAACTTTTGATATTTTCGACATTTGATGAGCTCTCAGGAACGGATTAATATCGAATGTTGGGGGTCCACTGTATATATTATCATGTATGCTCTCTCTCCTCCGCTCCAATGAATACATGTTCAAGACTTGCAGGTGTTCCCAGTAGTTTAGTGCTTTACTGGCTCAATGTGAGCCGTAAACGATCTCTGTACATATTTGTTCCAGCTCTGATATTTCTCCTGCCCTGAACGGGGCCGTCAGCACTGAGCAATATTCTAAGTGAGGGATCACTAGTGATTTAAAGAGTGTCACCATCGGCATTGTTTCCCTTGTTTTGAAGGGAAACAATGCCGATGGTGACACTCTTCAGAGCAGGTGTTGCACAACTTAACATTTAACCCTTTGACTGTTTTCGACGTATAAATACGTCTTACGAGCCAATGTTTCTGACATATATATACTCAATAATTCTAGCGGCTTCAAATCAAGTGGGAGAAAGCTGGTAGGCTCACATGTGAGAGAATGGGTCTGTGTGGTCAGTGTGCACCACATAAAAAAAATCCTGCAGCACACATTGCGTAATGAGAAAAAAAAAACTGATAGTTTTTTTGGAATAAAACGCCGACTTTGAGGTGTATTTTCGTATAGTATTTATCGTTGTATACCCGTTTTCATGGTCTTAGGTGATAAAATGGAAAACATATTACAGAAATAGAGATGATTTTCATTACTTTGACGGTGAAAACGATCTTGAAACTGAGCTCAAAGTAGCGGAAATGTTCGATTTTTACCAATGTTCAGGAGTAAATAAATCACACCACACGTCCAATACACGTCAACTGGGGAGTCTAATATTCTTTCACTAGTGCACTGATATTATTTATAACATTTTTACAATAATGCAGTAGTCTGCATAACAGTAAATTTTGTATTTTTTTTATATGAATAAAAAATCAAAATAGAAAGCAATAATAATATAAGAGGGGCCTAGAGATGTGACTAATGAACAGAGCATATGTTATTTTAGTGCCACGAATGTCTACCTTGTTTATTCTGGACCCTATTTTGAAATTGGCATCTTTTTTAGTTTGCGTGAAATTGGCCAAATTGCCAATTTCTGACCACCATATTGGGTAGTTCAAATTAGTAAATGGGAGGTTTCTTGTACTCAGCTGATAGATAAAATGGAGTTCTAAAGAAATAGCTATGAGTTTGGTCAACTGGAACAATGGAATTGGCTGAAAATAGGGCTCAAAGTCGGCGAAATCGCCGATACGCATATGTCGCCGAGACCGCTAACTTCGCGGGAGCATAATTCCATGAGTTTTCGACCAAATTTCGAACTTTTGGTGTCATTACCATCGGGAAAAGATTCTCTATAATTTCATAAGAAAAAATAATTTTTTTTTTTCAAAAATTGAGCGACATAGAATGACAGTTTCAGAAAGGGGCCTGAAACAGTCAAAGGGTTAAGATCGACAGTGTTATTACCAGACATAATGAGGGCAAATTCCTAGGCCTGCACCTTGACAGCAACCTGAATTTCAGCACCCATATCCAACACATAACAAAAAAAGTATCCAAAATGGTTGAGATGCTCTCCAAGATATGTTACTACGTGCCACAATCTGCCCTTCTTACACTATACAATTCACTCATTTATCCCTACCTCACCTATGCTATTTGTGCTTGGGGATCAACTGCAGCAACACACCTAAAGCCAGTAATAACCCAGCAAAAAGCCACAGTAAGAATAATCACACAATCCAATCCCAGGCAACACCCCCCCCCCCACTCTTCATAGATCTAAACTTACACACTGTACAGAACATCCACACTTACTACTGTGCAACCTACATTTACAGAACCTTAAATTCCAATATTAACCCTGACCTAAAACACTTTCTTGATAGTTGTGACAGGATCCACAGACAACACCAGACACAAACATCTCTATGACATTCCCCATGTCCGGCTTAACCTATACAAAAATTCAATGTACATAAAAGGACCTAAAATCTGGAACATCCTACCTGAAAATTCTAGAACTGCAGACACAACCGTCACTTTCAAAACTACCATTAGAATACATCTTATCTCGCTGACACAGCCCACCATCAGGTAACTACATGAAAACTGCCTATTCTCTTGTATCATACATGCATAAAAAACAACCTAGACCTCCCCTCGATATCTGTGATTACCCGCAATTCACACTTACACTCACCCAATTGACTATAAACATATAAATACGTAATACAACTATTACCTAATGAATCTTAACTAGTCATAAGTTTGCCTGTGATACTCCAGTATAGGAGCTTCAATAGAAACTATATATTGTACCAAAACAAAACCATTCACATTGCTAAATTTACAAACTGTAATGCAGTTAGCCTTAATACCAATATGCTTCATAATCTGTACCAATATAAAGTTTTGAATTAATCTTAGTCTGCCCGAAATGCCTAGTCATGCTAGGTGTGATAGTGACCCTCTGTAATTTGTTTTATATGTGTGTACTATAGGATATTGTGTAAACCACACAATATCTTATAGTATGTAAACCCCACATTGTAATCTTTGCAAGGAAATAAACACTTTCATTTTCATTTTCATTTGTTTTCCTTTGCAGATAAGAGTGTGTAGGTGGAGAGTCGAGTGATCGCAAGATTCTGGCAAATCGTTCTTCAAAGTAAGGCCCGCTTGTTTTTGTTTGGCTTCTTGTTTGGCTCGTTTGGCTCCTTGCTTTGCATGCCCCGCTCCCCCTTAACTCCCCCTGCTGTCCTGCTCTTTGTCTTGTTTGTGGCGCCGACGCTGGGTAAATGATGCCGGCGATGGATAAGATTCGCATTTTGAGGTCTAGTCAAAGGAGAAGTAGGCCTAAGAGGTGTAAAGCAGTTGGGTCAGCTGGCAGGGCTGTGTCCAGCCCCGTGTCGGCTGGTGGTGTCACTTCCAGCACCATGACAGCTGGTGGTGCCACTTCCAGCACTGTGTCGGTCATTGGCACTGCTTCCAGCTCCCTGCCAGCCATTGGCACTGCTTCCAGTCCCCTGCCAGCCAATGGCGCCACTTCCAGCCCTCTGACAGTCGTTGGTGCCACATCTACCCTGCAGCTGGCCAGTGGCACCACATCTTCCCTGCAGCTGGCTAGTGGCACTACATCCACCCTACAGCTGGCCAGCAGTGCCACTCCAGCCCTACAGCTGGCCTCTGGCACTGAGGCATCACAGAAATGGGTGCCGCTTCTCCTGCTGGACATCTCCGATGGTGCCAACGCTCCGGTTTTGCCTGGCCTACCAGTCACCAGCGGCCTGGTGGCCAACCCAGCAGCCAGGAAGGCCGTGGTGACCCGCAAGGCCATCCTGGTGACCAAGAGCTCAGCTGGCTCAACCTCCACGACCAGCATTCCCATCATGACGAAGCGGATCTCCATTCGAAGCAGCATACCCGATACCAAGCAAATCATAATCACCGCCGACGAGCCAGCAGAAGATCCACTGGCACTCCCTGTGGCCACCACAGATGACCTCGATCACCGTGATGACAATGAGAAGCCAATCAGATGCCTATTCTGCGAGCAGCGCTTCAATTCGCTTGATGACATGCAAGCGCATTACCTAAGCACACACAAAGCGCGGCGGTGCCGTGATGGACGCAAGCGGAAACCAATGGCAGATACTGAGGCACCAGCACTCCCAAAAACAACCCAGTGCCCCTCTGACCGGGAGGGACACCGGGGTCCCGACAACCCCAGTGGCTTCCCAATTTTGGGAACTGATGTCCCCAAGTGCCCTGTGTGCAGCATAGCATTCAAAACAACCGAAGAAGTCAAGAGTCACATAGAGGAGGTACATGCCTACATCTGCTCCGAATGTAACAACACATTCTACAACCTCTTCCACTTCACAAGCCACAAATGCAACAAAGGTGCCAAGAAGCTGCGGCGGGTCAGGAGGCGCAGCAGTGGAAGGGGAAAAGCAGAGGTGGATGGCTCCGTCAAGGGGTTTTCCAGTGCCAAATCGAATGGCCTTGCCAGTGCCAAATCAAGGGGCCGGAAGAGGGGAAAGAACTCTTCTGAAGTGCTAAATGGCGATCTGCCGCCTCTACAGAGAATTGAAAACATTCTTTCAACTACTACTACTACTACTTCTACAACTACTACTACCACCTCTACTGCAACAACCACTACTGCGGGCTCTATTCCTACAACTAGAGCAACTACTACAGGCTCACTTACTTCTAGAACAACTACTACAGGCCCTATTACTACTAGAGCAGCTACTACTACAGGCCCTGTTACTACTACTAATGCTGCTGAGAATGTCGTTAGCAGCCTAGTGGAAATTGACAGCCAGAGGGACATAGGTGCATCTGGGGCATTGCCAGCCAGTGGAGTTGAATCGGTCACTTCAGGGGCAGAAGTTGACCGGAAGGACTTTGACCGGGGGTCGTTCTTCCTACCATCAATCTCAACTGCTTATACCCTAAAAGCGGCAGCCAGTGGCCCATCCACAGAGGATAGACCCACCCGAATCACTGACCAGGATGCTGGAGCAACCAGCATCAAGTGCTCGGCCACTGAATTGACCCAAATTGATGCCACCAACATCCACCAGGCCCGCTGCCTCGTTCAGTCTGCCGAGACTACTGACGCTAAGCCCTCGTCTGCTGAATTGATCCGGGAGAAAATTGCCCAGTTGAAGAACAACCCATACGTCAGTATTTCATGGCTGCCATCACTGACATTGCAAAAACAGGCCGAGGATGAATTCGTGTGTGGTCGATGCAATGTGATCTGTGATGACATTGACGACTACATGGACCACATACAGGATTGCTTGTATATAACGAGTGTCACACTGGAACGGACGAGCAGGCCGCCTCGGCGGCTCCTCCGCTTGCCGGTTGAGTCGTCCGGCTTCCGTGAGACGAACAACAACCGCTATTCTGTCAATAAGAACTTGATTAGTAAACTGAAGAGGGTCTTACCACAGCGGAACGACTTGGGGCATGCCCAGGATGTCAAGCCACCACCATCAGCAGTCAACTCGGCTGAACAGGCATTCAGGGATCTGCTTGACTATGACTATGGATATGAATCACACGAATCAGTCGACCACACTGGTGGATCAGCTTCTCCTGTCAGCCCCGGTGGACGGGCGAGCGATCCGCCGGCCAACTCAGTGGTGCCAAACGGCCAAGCATCCACTGGTGGCCCCAAGACGGCGCCCATGGTTGTCATTCCGCTGGATTCAAAGGCCGATTTCAACCTCCCGACTGTGTCCGATCCAATGCTTAACCAGAGTTCTCCGACCTCGACTTCGGCCTCACCCCTTGGCATGCTTCTCGACCAGGACGAAATCAAAATGGAGGTTGAGGAGGAGGTGGTCGAGGACCATTATGAGGTAAGGACCTATCAGCTTGGCGTTCTGTTTGGGCATAGAAATAGACTGGTGGTGGTGATTGAATTTCAGGGGCAGCCGAGGCACCAACAGACAAGTAATTGCAAGAATGGCAGTCAATTTGGCAGCGGATTATCTTCTGAAATGACTTCCGGGGATCAGATTGGAGGATTTGGCCCGGCCATCACTCTGCTGTGGGACAGACAAGTGTGATTGTTGGCTCATCAACTTCTAGATGGGTTGAATATGTAGATCTAAGTCATGATAATAGGAGGTCAGTCCCTGAGTTGTGATAGTAGGGGGTCAGTCCCTGAGTTGTGATAGGTCAATCCCTGAGTTGTGATAGTAGGGGGTCAGTCCCTGTGTTGTGATAGTAGGGGGTCAGTCCCCTGAGTTGTGATAGTAGGGGGTCAGTCCCCTGAGTTGTGATAGTAGGGGGTCAGTCCCCTGAGTTGTGATAGTAGGGGGTCAGTCCCCTGAGTTGTGATAGTAGGGGGTCAGTCCCCTGAGTTGTGATAGTAGGGGGTCAGTCCCTGAGTTGTGATAGTAGGGGGTCAGTCCCCTGAGTTGTGATAGTAGGGGGTCAGTCCCCTGAGTTGTGATAGTAGGGGGTCAGTCCCCTGAGTTGTGATAGTAGGGGGTCAGTCCCCTGAGTTGTGATAGTAGGGGGTCAGTCCCCTGAGTTGTGATAGTAGGGGGTCAGTCCCCTGAGTTGGGATAGCAGGGGTCAGTCCCTGAGTTGTGATAGTAGGAGGTCAGTCCCTGAGTTGTGATAGTAGGGGGTCAGTCCCTGAATTGTGATAGTAGGGGTCAGTCCCTGAGTTATGACAGTAGGAGTCAGTCCTTCCTTTGTTAGGTATGATAATTCCTATGTTAGGTATGATAATTCCTGTTAAGTATGATTATACCTCGGGTTTGATATGATAATCCTCTGTTAGGTGTGATAATTCCTCTCTTAGATATGATAATTCCTCTGTTAGGTTTGATAATTCCTGTTAGGTATGAAAATCCCTGTTAGTATAATCTGTTAGTAGATAATTCCTGTTTTAGGTATGATAATCCCTGTTAGGTATAATCTGTTAGGTATGATAATTCCTGTTAGGTATGATAATTCCTGTTAGTTATAATAATCTGTTAGGTATGATAATTCCTGTTAGGTATGATAATTCCTCTCTTAGGTATGATAATTCCTCTCTTAGGTATGATAATTCTTCTGTTAGGCATGATAATTCCTCTCGTAGTATGATAATTCTTGTTAGGTATGATAATTCCTCTGTTAGGCATGATAATTCCTCAGTTAGGTATGATAATAAATCTGTTAGGTATGATTCCTGTTATGTATGATAATTCCTCTGTTAGGTAAGATAATTCCTCTCTTAGGTATGATAATTCATGTGTTAGGTACGATAATTCCTGTTAGGTATGATAATTCCTCTCTTAGGTATGATAATTCCTCTGTTAGGTATGATAATTCCTCTCTTAGGTATGATAATTCCTCTCTTAGGTTTGATAAATCCTGGTAGGTATGATAATTCCTCTGTTAGGTATGATAATTCCTGTTAGGTATGATAATTCCTCTGTTAGGTATGATAATTCCTCTCTTAGGTATGATAATTCCTGTGTTAGGTACGATAATTCCTGTTAGGTATGATAATTCCTCTCTTAGGTATGATAATTCCTCTGTTAGGTATGATAATTCCTGTTAGATATGATAAATCCTGTTAGGTATGATAATTCTTCTGTTAGGTATGATAATTCCTCTGTTAGGTATGATAATTCCTCTGTTAGGTATGATAATTCCTGTAAGGTATGATAATTCCTCTGTTAGTATGGTAATTCCTCTGTTAGGTATGATAATTCCTCTGTTACATATGATAATTCCTCTGTTAGGTATGATAATTCCTTGTTAGGTATGATAATTCCTGTTAGGTATGACAATTCCTCTTAGGTATGATAATTCCTCTGTTAGTATGATAATTCCTCTGTTAGGTATGATAATTCCTCTCTTAGGTATGATAATTAATGTTAGGTATGATAATTCCTCTGTTAGTATGATAATTCCTCTGTTAGGTATGATAATTCCTCTGTTAGTATGATAATTCCTCTGTTAGGTATGATAATTCCTCTCTTCGGTATGATAATTAATGTTAGGTATGATAATTCCTCTGTTAGTATGATAATTCCTCTGTTAGGTATGATAATTCCTCTGTTAGGTATTGATAATTCTTGTTAGGTATGATAATTCCTGTTAGGTATGATAATTCCTGTTAGGTATGATAATTCCTCTGTTAGTATGATAATTCCTGTTAAGTATGATAATTCCTCTGTTAGGTATGATAATTCCTGTTAGGTATGATAATTCCTCTGTTAGGTATGATAATTCCTCTGTTAGGTATGATAATTCCTCTGTTAGGTATGACAATTCCTCTGTTAGGTATGATAATTCCTCTTTAGTATGATAATTCCTCTGTTAGGTATGATAATTCCTCTCGTTGGTATGAACAATTCCTCTGTTAGGTATGATAATTCCTCTGTTAGTATGATATTCCTCTGTTAGGTATGACTAATTCTCTGTTAGGTATGATAATTCCTCTGTTAGGTATGATAATTCCTCTGTTAGGTATGATAATTCCTCTGTTAGGTATGATAATTCCTCTGTTAGGTATGACAATTCCTCTGTTAGGTATGATAATTCCTCTGTTAGGTATGATAATTCCTCTGTTAGGAATCATAAATCCACTGTTAGGTATGATAATTTTTTGGTAGGTACGATAATTCATGTGTCACAGCTTGTGTCAGTCACCCTTGTAGTGTCACAGCTTGTGTCAGTCACCCTTGTAGTGTCACAGCTTGTGTCAGTCACCCTTGTAGTGTCACAGCTTGTGTCAGTCACCCTTGTAGTGTCATGGCTTGTGTCAGTCACCCTTGTAGTGTCACAGCTTGTGTCAGTCACCCTTGTAGTGTCACAGCTTGTGTCAGTCACCCTTGTAGTGTCATGGCTTGTGTCAGTCACCCTTGTAGTGTCATGGCTTGTGTCAGTCACCCTTGAAGTGTCACAGCTTGTGTCAGTCACCACCTGTAGCGTCACAGCTTGTGTCAGTCATCCTTGTAGTGTCACTGCTTTTGTCAGTCACCCTTGTAGTGTCACAGCTTGTGTCAGTCACCCTTGTAGTGTCACAGCTTGAGTCAGTCACCCTTGTACTGTCACAGCTTGTGGCTGTCACCCTTGTAGTGTCACAGCTTGTGTCAGTCACCCTTGTAGTGTCACAGCTTGTGTCAGTCACCCTTGTAGTGTCACAGCTTGTGTCAGTCACCCTTGTAGTGTCACAGCTTGTGTCAGTCACCCTTGTAGCGTCACAGCTTGTGTCAGTCACCCTTGTAGTGTAACAGCTTGTGTCAGTCACCCTTGTAGTGTCACAGCTTGTGTCAGTCACCCTTGTAGTGTCATGGCTTGTGTCAGTCACCCTTGTAGTGTCATGGTTGTGTCAGTCACCCTTGAAGTGTCACAGCTTGTGTCAGTCACCCCTGTAGTGTCACAGCTTGTGTCAGTCATCCTTGTAGTGTCACTGCTTTTGTCAGTCACCCTTGTAGTTTCACAGCTTGTGTCAGTCACCCTTGTAGTGTCACAGCTTGAGTCAGTCACCCTTGTACTGTCACAGCTTGTGGTTGTCACCCTTGAAGTGTCACAGCTTGTGTCAGTTACCCTTGTAGTGCCACAGCTTGTGTCAATCACCCTTGTAGTGTCACAGCTTTTGTCAGTCACCCTTGTAGTGTCATGGCTTGTGTCATCACCCTTGTAGTTTCACACCTTGTGTCGGTCACCCTTGTAGTGTCATGGGTTGTCAGTCACCCTTGTAGTGTCACAGCTTGTGTCAGTCACTCTTGTAGGTCACGGCTTGTGTCAGTCACCCTTGAAGTGTCATGGTTGGTGTCAGTCACCCTTGTTGTGTTACAGCTTGTGTTTGTCACCCTTGTAGTGTCATGGCTTGTGTCAGTCACCCTTGTAGTGTCACAGCTTGTGTCAGTCACCCTTTTAGTGTCACAGCTTGTGTCAGTCACCTTGTAGTGTCACAGCTTATCTATCACCCTTGTAGTGTAACAGCTTGTCAGTCACCCTTGTAGCGTCAGAGCTTCTGTCAGTCACCCTTGTAGTGTCACAGCTTGTGTCAGTCACCCTTGTAGTGTCACAGCTTGTGTCAGTCACCCTTGTAGTGTCACAGCTTGTATCAGTCACCCTTGTAGTGTCATGGGTTGTGTCAGTCACCCTTGTAGTGTCACAGCTTGTGTCCGTCACCCTTGTAGTGTCATGGTTTGTATCAGTCACCCTTGTAGTGTCACAGCTTGTGTCAGGCACCATTGTAGTGTCACAGCTTGTGTTAGTCACCCTTGTAATGTCACAGCTTGTGCCAGTTACCCTTGTAGTGTTGCAGCTTGTGTCAGTCACCCTTGGAGTGTCACAGCTTGTGTCATGCACCCTTGTAGTGTCACAGCTTGTGTGTTACCCTTGTAGCATCAGACCTTCTTTCAGTCATCCTTTTAGTGTCACAGCTTGTGGCTGTCACCCTTGTAGTGTCATGGTTTGTTAGTCACCCTTGTAGTGTCACAGCTTGTGTTAGTCACCCTTGTAGTGTCACAGCTTGTATTAGTCACCCTTGTAATGTTACAGCTTGTGTCAGTTACCCTTGTAGTGTTGCAGCTTGTGTCAGTCACCCTTGGAGTGTCATAGCTTGTGTCAGTCACCCTTGTAGTGTCATAGCTTGTGTCAGTCACCCTTGTAGTGTCACAGCTTGTATAAGTCACCCTTGTAGTGTCACAGCTTGTGTCAGCCACCCTTGTAGTGTCACAGCTTGTGGCTGTCACCCTTGTAGTGTCACAGCTTGTGTCAGTCACCCTTGTAGTGTCACAGCTTGTGTCAGTTACCCTTGTAGTGTCACAGCTTGTGTCAGTCACCCTTGTAGTGCCATGGCTTGTGTCAGTCACCCTTGTAGAGTCATAGCTTGTGTCAGTCACCCTTGTAGTGTTAAAACTTGTGGCTGTCACTTTTGTAGTGTCACAACCTTTGGCTGTCACCCTTATAGTATCACAGCTTGTATCACTCACCCTTGTAGTGTCATGGCTTGTCAGTCACCTTGTAGTGTCACAGCTTGTCAGTCACCCTTGTAGTGTCACAGCTTGTGTCAGTCACCTTTGTAGTGTTATAGCTTGTCAGTTACCCTTGTAGTGTTTAAACTTGTGTCAGTCACCTGTAGTGTCACAGCTTGTGGCTGTCACCCTTGTAGTCTCACAGCTTTTGGCTGTCTCCCTTGTAGTGTCACAACTTTTGGCTGTCATCCTTGTCGTGCCACTAGACCAGATGTAAGGCCGGTGCCACATCCTCTGCACTGCTGACATGAAATTCCTGATGGCCAGTGACATCCTATTCACCTCCTGACGCTATTAGTACTACTATTAAATTTATTTTTGGTGTCGTGTGGTGGTCAGGTTGCTAATTCGTTCTTCATTTTATTTCAGGAATCGTGACGGCTGCGGGTACCCCAGGGATGACTAGCCGCGGTGCTGGCATCTAGCCCATCGCCAAAGTGATGTACGACGACATGACAAGGTTGTGAAGCTCAGTGCTAGTTCTTTTAAGACTTGTTATATACCTGTGAGAGCCAGGGAGACCCCTGTATCCCTGACTTAAGTGTAAGGTTTTGGGATACCTGTACAGGACTGGAGGGTATCTTTAGTTTGATAATGTAAGATGGATAACTGGTGTCTAAGAAGTGTACTATTTTGGATAATGTTGAATGATTTTTTATATAAGTGGGATTACGTTAAGGATGATACATGTCCTGTACATATCCTCGTCTTAAATCCCAGAAGTTAAGTTTATTTTATTCTTACTTTACCTCATCGGAAGGACTGTTTTATGTGCCAGAAGAACATTAGTTTGGACCTGATAAACTGCCAGATATTTAAAGTGCAGTGGCGGGTGTTTACGGTAATTGGGTGAGGCCGTGTGTCAGTGCCATCTGTTGAGCGTTCTCAGAGTTGAATAAGATGAACATGGTATCATATTGCTGTGAGAAATTGCAGTGAACGCCTTCATACTAAAAGTCATCCTCTATAAGGTTTTCCGAGGGCGAATTAATACTGTTAGTTATTTTTGGTACCATATTGCTGTGAGAAATCACAAAAGTCATACTCCATGACATTTCAACAGTGAATTATAGTCCAAAAAGTTATTTTTTTTTTTATATTTTGCTGTGAGATGTTGCAGTGATCATCTTCATTCCAAAAGTCATCCTCTATAATGTTTTGTGTTGGTTAATTAATACCGTTAAAGTTAATTTTGGCAACATGTTGCTGTGAGAAATCACAGTGATCACCTTCATACCAAAAGTCATCCCCCTGTAACATTTCCCGATAGCAAATAAAACCCAGAAGAGTCAGTTTATTTTTATACCAGTTTGCAATATTTTGGCACCAGCACCGACATTACTCCATGACAGACCTGCCACAGAGGGGCTAGCAACGGAGGACGCCAGTGCAGCGGAAGTGCTGGAATTCTGCGGAGGTGCAGGAATTGCACTGGAGGTGCTGGAGTTGCGCTGGAGGTCCTGGAGTTGTGTTGGAGGTGTCGCAGTTACATTAGAGCTCCTGGAGTTGCGCTGGAAGTGCCGGAGCTGTGCCGGAGGTGCCGGCATTGCTGACGGAGGGAGCGGAGGTCGTCAGAGTGATGGAGGACGTGATTCCTGTAGAGGAGCTCATCATTAAGGAGGAACTGGATGATGATATTAAGGTGGGAACCACATTTGTGTTTTTTATGGGATTTTTAAGTTGATCAAATTAAGATTTTTAAAGTGTATATACAGTGAGTTCTGCTGTAAAGCTCTCTCTTTCTCTCTCTCTCTCACTGTCTCTCTGTCCTTCTGTCTCTGTCTCTGTCTCTCACTGTCTCTCTGTCTCTCTCTCTCTCTCTCTCTCTCTCTCTCTTCTCTCTTTCTCTCTCTCTCTCTCTTACAAAAAATGCGATATCTAATAATGATAGAGATCTCCAGTAAACACTAGAAAGGACTGCCCTTCTAGCATCCAGCCTGTTACTGGGTTTTTGTAACAAGTAGTCTGTATCCTGGTCCAATTATCCATTAGAATTTAGTAAGATTCAGTAGTGCTTCAGGATTACGACTGGTAGGCTACTGACTAAAGAAATTAAAATTTAGTAAGTTTATTAATAACAATAAAGTT